ATTTTCTTAATACTTAAATATCTTATTATATTTGTATAGAAACTAAGTAAAAATATATCCTAAAATAGATCGAATAAAACAATTAATCGATGATTAACAACTAGGTATCGGTGGGATGATCTTTTCTTTTTTTGGTCCTGGTTTCAATTTCAAAACTTTTATTGTTTCTAGAAAAAACAACGACTTTTATAATCTGTATGATTTTTTGAATATATATAAAATGAATATTGATGATTTTGAGAAATTAACAATCCCAGGTCGAAGATTTCGGTCACTGGATCCCATAGGATTCTGTAGGAAAGATGCGGGAAAATTCACCGTATCCTGCACGAAAACACTGAAAGTCGCCGGAACAGGGTGGCAGTATTCCGGCCGGAAAAGTTTTGGATTTTTCCGGACAACTTCCTGAAAAAAACGGGAGGAATTTGATCGAAAGTCACAGGAAAAATCCGAAAAGTGTCCAGCCGGAATACTGCCACCCTGTTCCAATAACTTCCAGTGTTTTTCTGCTGGAACCCACTCGTACTTCTCGACCTAGGCATAAATAAATAAAAAAGGCCTATTTGTAGATCATTAGTCAGAACAGAATAATAAATATGGAAATAGGTAGTCTAGTTCTGGAACAGAAAACATTACGGGACCAGTTTGCAGATCTCTATTAGCAACACTAATTATATCATGTAATCGCACGAAGATTACATTTACAGATTTCTTTTATCAAATTTAAAGCAAAAAAAAAAAGTCAAGGTAATCATTTTGATCGGAAATGTTATTGCTAAAAAGTTCTTATCATAAGTGGTTCCCATATTGTAATAAAAGAAAAAAAAACTCCTGAAAGTGCCGATGGCGCAAGACGCCATCATATTGAATGCCGCCGACATACGTGAAATCATTCTCACAATTCATTACAATGAATACCGACTTAATATTATTTAATAAACAAAAAATGAAAACATTCCTAAAGCAAAACGTCTCAAATTTGAGTACCATTAGAACTCTTCAAAAGTGCTCAGTTTCTATTTTCGTCTTTCTAACAATTAATTAATTGCACGTTCTTTTTTTTTTAATCAAAGGTAAATCAGTTCGTGTTGACATGATTTAATGTCATAAGCTATTAATATAAAAAATATCGACAAGATGTTATATCAAATACTGTTGTTGTTATGTAAAATTGTTTTTTTTTATATCTAATTAGTCAATATTGTTTATCATAGTATCATTTATGTTACTCACATTATGGAAATTGTATGTTATTATTCATGTCATAATGAGAAAATTTTATCATATATATATACATATAGACATGATTTATTTTCTGTCAAGAACAAATTATTTTGTTTTTTTGTTTAAAATTTTATATGTTTTAATTAATATATTTATTAATAAATATAGATTGAACCAAATTTAAATGTTGATTTGGAAAAAGAACGACGACGTGCAGATGAATTTGAAAATGATTATAAATCTTTAAAAATAAAATATGATGATGTATGTGAACGTATTCGTATAGCTACACATCAATTAGATCGCGTACATATTATTCTATGATTCGACTAGTTCAGCTACGGAAAAAATTGGTATTAATACATATGATTTATTATTGCTTCTCCTTTTTTTCTCTTCGTATTTTTCTATTCACTATTAAATTTCTTAGATAAAATATTTCCATAAGCACATTTTTCTGCACTTATTTTTTTTTTCTTTTATCTTATATATAATACTCCTCTAGACTGAGACGATGAATCCAACATAATTATTTATATATAGATTAAAATAATTTTTTATTGTCATTTGTTTTTTGTTCTAGTCTGAAATTAATGCTCAATCTGAATATCTTTCACAAAATGTTCTTAATGTAACATCAAAATATAAAGATAAATTAAATACAATTAAAGTTCGTTTGTAAGTCTTTATTTAGAATCCCAAAAACAAAAAGAACAAGATTAAAGAAATTTTGATTATTATTATTATTATTATTATAGAGAACAAGCAGAACATGAAAGACATGAAGTACAACTTCGTAATGAAAAATTTCAAAATGATAGACAACCGTTTGATGTAAAAAAGTTTGATATGGTTTCATCATGTCAATTTAATTACTTTTTGAATTGTTAAACAAAATGACTGCTGGTTCAATATCTGCTTCGTCAATAATTCCATTACGTGTTGGTTATACACAAAAATTTTCCATTGATACAAATACATTGATTGAAATACGTAGTGATACAAATGATGTTGATATTTATTATACATTAGATGGTTCAAAACCAGATGCATTTATAACATTAGCAACACGACGTTCGACTATACAATATTAAAAAAAACCATTTTATATACCAAGAGATATAGCTAATACAGGCAAAGTAACAATTAAAGCTATAGCAGTATCACGGTAAAGATATTTGAGAAAACAAAAAAATCAATTTGAAGAATTTTTATTTTTTTTATTAAAATTTATTTAGTGATGGAATTCGAGAAAGTGTTATAGTAACAAAAATATTTGATGTTAAAATTATTCCATCAGATCATTCATTATCGGATGAATATGAAAATCGATACTTATATGAACTACAACAAGAACGAAAGGTAAAAAATTTCAAAATGATAGATAATACATAAATTCAATAGAAATTTACTTATCTCATGTTTATTGAAATACTGTATAGAATACTTTTTTTTTATTATGAAATCATACCTATTTTTATATGAAATATACAATGAATTTGAATCAAGTGAAAGAATATTCTTTTTAGTATTTATTTAAGTAATCTGAAAAAGTATATTTTAGAAAAAGATGATTTTTCATTAAAAGAAACTATGAACTCGATTTTTGTAGAAAACACATCTGAATACATGGAATCTTTCATAAAATATTACGAAAATAAAATAATCTGTTGGATGTATGAGTAAGTTTATGTGTTATTATAAGTGATTAATCAAGATGTTAAAGTTTAATTAAATATTCAATTTTTCAATATAAATATATTTTAGTTTGCAAAAATATTTATCTTTAATTTTATTTAAAAAAATTGATATTCAAGAATGTCTCGATATGTCAAGAGTTCAATTAGAAGATCACTAATATAATAGTAGTAATTTAATGCTTGTCTATAGATATTACTTCATTAAAATGTTTTTTTTTTCTATGAAGTTCAAAACTTATCAAAGTCATTGACACATCTTCAATTTTAGTTTTTAAATTTCTATTTGAAACTTTACATAGAGATAGATGTTAACGAAAATAATTTATTGCAAAATATTTTTCATTTCGCCGATAAGAATATATCTAAAAAACAATTTGTAAACATACAATTAGTAAAGCAATCGAACTTTTTTCTACATATTTAATTCAGTTAAATATTTATTAATTGATTTTATAATTTTACTTCAATAGGAATTAATGAGAAAGATGCAAAAATGAAAATGAACAAATGCAACAAAAATTATCTGGTATCAAAAAAAAAAAGTAATTTTATTTATTATTAATCAAATTTCTATATAGGATCAATGCGTCGTTCAACAATTGATTCATTAGTACAAGAAAATCCAACTAATTATACATATTCAAATTCTCAAATACAAACAAATGTTTTAAGGTTTATCGAAACAAAAAAAACAAAATTTATTTTATTATTTGAGCTTTTTTTATCCTTTCTAGATGTGCACATTGTTTTGCACCTAAATCAAATGATTTATATACACGATTTTATACGGAATGTGGTCTATCTTGGCAAAAACTAACTCATAATCCACCGGATAATTATTCAGTAATTCAAAATAATTCTATCGGATATGATGACTACCCTTCATTTGAAAAAAAGAAACTACCTAATCCCATTCTGTTGAACAACTCATAGTTATTTACGAAATTATTTTTTCATAAAAGTCATTATACCAGCTAAGATATATAAGAGCAATGATGAGTAATATGATCTCAAAAATAACCTATATCTGACATATATATATATGAGTCTTTCGAAAACAGTAAAACAAACGTTTTTCTCTTTCAGAATCTTGATAAAGCTATTAATTCTTATAAGAAACCCGAACATATGTTGAATGTGATAGAACTACATATCCGAATCACATTCGATGTTCTGAAGCCTAAAAACAAAAAGAAAAGTCATATATTTTTCTATTCTCAGGAATCACACTTATAGAACACGGAAAAAGTTGCATAGTTGGTTGCCTTTGTCCTCGACAGTCATATCTTACAACAGCCATCATTGCTATAATACCTGTTAACTAGTAACCCTCCCCCCAGAATAAAAGTGCATGCCCTTATACAGTGTCTTGGCACATCGCTATTTTTTGAATGACCTTCTATTGAGGGTCAATTTTTGGCCAGTTTTTAATTAAAATTATTTAAAAAATGAATAATTCATTAATAACTTTAATTATTGTTTTTTAGGTGTTTTTGCTGAAAAAACTACCATTTTTTGTAAAACCTGTACTAATTATGATAGGAAAGGAAGGATTTCGCAAAAAAAACATTAGAAAATCGGTTCTATTTCCTTAATTCGGGGAGGGGGGTATATGACTTTTCAGAACTGTAAAATTTGATAAAGAGTATATCCTTCGACGGATCATGTATTGTTCTACATAACAGTATTGATTATTTTACAAATGAATAGTAGTTATTTTATTTTACACGGATAATTTTTCTTTAATTAGACTAATATATGTACAAATTGTAAATCTACTATTCCATTTAATTCTAACACATGTGTTGTATGTGAAACACCAGTATCCAAAGAACCACAACAGCGACCAACTTCTCAAAATCAGGTTTCAAAGAAATTAATCAAATTTCAATGTTCCTCTCTAGACAAGAATTCTATGTTCTCATTGTAAATCAACAAATTCAATACATTTACGAACATGTTATATTTGTGAAAATGTATTAATACCAACATCGACATCACCAGTAAACAAAAAAAAATCTTATTAATTTTTTCCGTATTTATATTTCAAGAGGAAAAACGAACTTCAATTTCAATTCCAACAATATCAAAACAAACTAATACAATAATGATAACATGTTCAAAATGTTTTCGTTTAAATAATCCTAATGCTCGTTTTTGTGATTGGTGTCGTTCATATCCTGATCATGCATCTACATCAATACAATGTACAAAATGTCATACTAATAATGATTCATTTGCAAAATTTTGTTCAACATGTGGATGTGTTATTGAACCACCATTACGTATTATTGATACACGTCTTTAAAATGATTTGAATATTTCATCATCATCAATGATTGCTAGTGTATATTAAAATTAAAGAATAAAAAGAAAACAAAAAAAAAAGATTCTTGTTTTCTATAGACATTAATACGTAATTCAGTTAATCCTGTATGGCTTAATGCAAATACAACATTAACTAATTATCATCAATCATATTCAACAATTAAAAAAGAAGCTGCAACACAAACATATGGAATTTATTATCCAAGTGCAAAAGATATTGATTTAATTATAACACAAAATAAAAAATTATTAGCTGAAAAAGAATTGAAAGAATATCGTCCAATATTAACATCTACAAGTCCAGGAAAAGGATATTGGCGACAACAATTAAATCATATTTGTGCTCATTTAAAAACTTATGCAGTTAATCGACCAGATTTTCAATCATTGATGGTAAAGATCTTTAATATTTAAAAAAAAACTAATACTTTTATTTTGCTATAATGAATAATAACTATTATCTAAAATATAAATTCTCTCTCTCTATATATATCTTATATATTAATATTAAAAAAGTTTATATATTATTTAATTATTTTTTTTAGGTGAACCACGTATGGGTAATATGATTCATGCAACTGTACATGAAAATGAATATCAAGTAACTATACAAACAGTATTTCGTAAACCAGAAAATCTTTCACAATCACCATTTTTTATTAATGAAACAAATGAATATTATCCAATAAATAGTGAACGAAGTTCACCATATTCAAATACAATTTATTCTGATAGTAAGCAAAAGTATTCTTTGCAAAAAAAAACTTTGTTTTTTACATAGATGAATATCCAAGAGAAAAATCACAACGAACAAAAGTAAAACATCATAATAAAAAACGACCGCAATCAGCTAATACTATTACAGAGAATATTGAGTGTAAGAAAAAATATTTTATTATAATTTATTTTTGTTTTATTAATGATCTGAAATATAATAGTCAACTCATGCATTAATTCGATTATTTGAAAAAAAAATAATAATTATAATAAAAAAATCATCACATCAAATCGATATATTAAAAGAAGTTCAACGTTTAATAAAAGAAAAAGCTGATGTTAATATTAAAAATAAAGATGGTTATACGATTCTACAATTGGCTATACGTAATGGATATTATGAATGTTTAGAAACACTTATTATAGATGGAAAAGCTAAATTAGATAAAAAAGGACCGTAAGTTCTATATATATATATCGAGATTTTAATATCAATTGAAATCAAAGATTGACTGTGTATTTTTTCTTTTTTTGTTCAGATAAAAATTGATATTCGAAATGTTAAGAAATATTGATTTTGTTTTGTTTTGTAGACGAGGTAATACAGCATTACATGAATGTTGTTTATTAGGACTTGATGGTGCTGAACCATTAAGAATTCTTCTTATGTAAGTTTATTTTTTAATTAGAAATTAAATAACAAGATAATAAAATTTAATTTTTTTTTTTGATAAAAGACATGGAGGTGATGCATCTTGGTTAAATGATAAAAATGAAAGTGTTATTGATATAGCAGCAAAACAAAATTGTCCAGAATTATTACAAGCTTTTTCTAAATATCAAAGTGAAAAAATGCTTAAACAACATATGAAAAATTCTTATGATGATCATACAAGAATAAAAACTATTCATG